AGTTGAATAGTAGGAATTTATTTGATTGATCTAAGGAATAACCCAAATAAGGTACTTTCGGATTTACATTCTAGTAATGTTTTCAGCAATCGAAATGGAGTACCTATTGGATTAGAAACGAACAAAATTTGGTAAAAGGGATCTTGATTTGTCTCCAGTTTAAGAATAAGCTGTGATGGAAATGCAATACTAAGATTTGGACTGGTGTAAGATTTATGACTTGTAGCATGTCATTCAACGTGAATAATTTTGTTGTGTTTCCATTAACTTTTTGTTGAACAGCGTCTATTGAAGACAGCGCAAGTTGGGGAAGGAGATATCTTGATGATTCAAAATTGAAATGAAATGTGATTTTCTTAATATTATTTGAATTAAAAAAATTCAAGCAATTAGCAATGATGTGATGCTCTTTTTTCTTTGCTAGTTACCTTCAAATTTATTTATTTCTTTTTTTTAATAGGAGGCTCGCCGGTCGGCCCGGGCTCGAGCCGACTCCCCAAAGTGGGGCTCGCCTCGAGCTGCCAGGCCCGGCTCGGGCCTTTTCCGAGCCGAGCCCGAGCCTTCGAGCTTTATTGTCACCGCTACCCCCTCACTGTGTGGGCGGGCCCCACATGTATTGAAAAAAAAAAAAAATAAATTTGCAGGCCCCACCTTTGTTTCTTACCTGGCAGGGACCTGTGATGCACTTCAAGCATCTCTCGTTCATTATTGCTCCCCGGATACAAGACTCTGTCATAACGCAGACTAGAATCAACGCTTGACAAATATTCGAATAAGCATAATCATCTCAAAGTTGAAATGGCCGAGGCTGTAGTCTCCATTACTCTTCAAACCATTGGCGATCTACTTGTTGACGAAGTTAAATTCTACAGTGGATTGAGATCCCAGGTCGAGCAAATCGAGCAAGAGCTTCAACTTATGAGATCTTTCTTGAAAGATGCGGATGCACAGCAAGATGCGGATGAACGTCTCCAAAAGTGGATTTCAGAAGTTCGAGAAGCAGCTTATGATATAGAGGATAATATCCTTGTATTTGTTGCTGTAAAAAACAAGTCCAGAAGGTACAGAAATTCGAAAAACTTGTTGAAAAAAATGGGTTGCTTTTTTAGAGAAATTATCACAACTCACAAGGTGGGTTCTCATATTTCTGATATTAAGAATAAGATAATTAGTCTCACTACGAGTTTACAGACTTATGGGATAAAACCCATAAATAATCAAGGAGAAAATCCGGGTTTTGATGATGCAAGAATTCGGGATCTGAGGAGGTCTTATTCTCATGTTGTCGAGGAAGATTTTGTGGGATTACAAGGAGATATTAAAACGTTGGTTGCACATTTGATTGATGAACAAAAGGATAGGGTTATTTCAATTTATGGAATGGGGGGTTTGGGGAAGACAACAATAGCTAGAAAAGTGTATGGCGAAAGAGATGTTCGACGCCATTTTGATGGATTTGCTTGGACTTGTGTATCCCAACTATGGGATAAAAAGGATATTTTACAGGGGATTTTGATAAAACTGATTCCTGAGGAAAGGGATGATATTTTGGGTATGAGGGATGAGGAATTGGTTAGGGAACTGCACGATGTGCAGTTGAAGAAGAAGTGTCTGGTAGTTCTTGATGATATTTGGTCCATTCAAGCTTGGGACAGCCTTAAATCGGCTTTTCCAAATACTACTGGTGCAGGTAGCAAAATATTGCTCACGACACGGAATAGAGAAGTTGCTTCTTATGTTTATCCGAGTGGATTTCTTTATGAGCCCAGGGTTTTGAACAACGAGGAGAGTTGGGAATTGCTAAGGAAGAAGGCATTTCCAAGAAGACGAGATATTGCCGGTAATTTTTATCTTTATTTTTTCCTTTGTAGGCAGTTGTTTTGTTGCGTCTGTTTACAACTTTGAGTGATACCGTTGGTGGTTTTAACTCTTTGATCTAGTTTCCAATTGTAACGACCCGGTCTCTATGACCAAGCCTTCTAACTCACGTACTGTCCACTCCGAGAGAGCGTGAACCCATTTTAAGCGTCACAAATTTCTATCGCATTCCTATAATTGGAACCCTTGACATTTCCCTTAATAATGACTTAAGTTGAATGCTGGTACTAATATTGACGCAGAGTACCTTCCGTTTTAGTGAACCTTGGGAGCTGTTGGCGGCTCCACGATTCAGTTCAACGAGGACAGGTTCCTCCACGTTAATTTGAATTGATTGGATTGGGGAACCGGCAAATCCGTTTGCAACCCTTTTGGAAATATTACCGGAATGGTATTAATAAAAAAAGATCTCTTTTTTGCAATTCTATTCTTTCGAGTTTATTTCGTTCCTATTCTCCTTTCTCAAAAAAAGGGGATGCCAAAGTAAAAGACTACCTCATTTTGGTATAAGGATTCAACTTAAATTATTGTTAAGGAAAAAGTCAAGGGTTCGAATTCTGGAGACCCGATAGAAATCCGTGAGAGATAAGATGGCCACAGGCTATCCCAGAGTAGATAGTCCTAATCTAAAGGTTTGGACATAGAGGCCGAGTCATTACACCGGTTGGGGTGCTTATCTTTGTAATGACTACTTCTAAGTTCCTTGTGGGATTATTAGCATATTGGGAACCCTTCAATCAAGGGCGAGTTTTTCTCAAAGTGCTAAGCTCTCGAACTAATATTTAACATAATGATCCACCCGTCTTTTCACAACTGTTATCTGAAGGCTTGTTTTTCTAATTGAGTCACTTCAGGAGGCATTTAGCTTTTTCTAGGTCACTCCCATCCATGGAAAGGGCTAGTACTACCTTTGGAAGGGTATCTATTTTGATACCTTCGTTACAAGCAGAGTGGATGTAGCTCCTCCTTGAAATCAACTTGTAAGAAAGGGGTGTCCAATGTGTTTATGAGTCTACAAGTTGAACCTTAATTTACTGAAGTGGGAGGGAATCAATAGAGTCTTTATGGTAGTCTTGTGTTTTACAATTGATCCAGTTCAGTTCAACTAATAAGGACCGTGTTTAACTTCAGTGTCAATTCAGCTTAATTGATTTGCTGCTGCAGATTGTACTGCAAATGTTCGGGTACAAGGTCTGCTAGCTTTTTCCCTAGTTTAACATTTGCCACAATGTTATCATCTATAATCTTTACATTGCTCAGAGTTGCTTTTAAGAACAGCAGAATATCTGATCTTCCATCGAGGAATCTACCTGTCTTCATGTATTTATTTATTTGGGGTTCCTCTATTTCGAAATATTCGATTCTTTAATTGGCCTTCATCCTTAACATACTGCGGTAAGGAGAGCGGCGATGGCTTGCCTCCCATTATTTGAACCAATCCACCTTGAATTGAATAGAATAGTTAAGGCACGTGCAAACATCCTACAGATGAAGATAGTGATTTTGGTGTTCTAACTTTGCAGAATATGTGATTGAACCCGAGATGGAGACATTAGGAAAGGATATGGTTGCACGTTGTTGTGGTTTGCCATTAGCCATTTTGGTGCTTGGTGGAATTCTCGTAACAAAGCACAATGTTAGAGAGTGGCAGACGGTACATGAGAACATCAATTGGTATTTGGCTCGGGGCAGAGGTCATGGACAACAGCAAGCAGTAACGGAGGTTTTATCCTTCAGTTACCATGACCTTCCGTACCAGTTCAAGCAATGCTTTCTTTTTCTGGCCAATTTTCCGGAGGAGTTTGAGATAGAAGCTGAGAAATTGTACCAATTCTGGCTAGCCGAAGGCATCATACCACAGGGAGAACGCGCTGAAGAAGAAACAATGATGGATGTAGCTGAACGCTACTTGGCTGAACTGGCACAAAGGTGCATGGTCCAAGTCAACGTAAAAGAAACAGCTGGTGGTTTCAAAAACTGTAGTCTTCACGATCTTATGCGGGATCTTTGTTTGTCTAAAGCCAAAGACGAAAACTTCGCCAATGTCATTGATTTTAGACGTGATAAGAAACCCATGGATTCATTATCATCGAGCAGTAGAATTCGAAGAATTTCCGTTTATTTGGATTCCGATATGACACAGGACGCTGTTGCTTGTAGGGAAAATCATCACATCAGGTCCGCTTTCTTTTATGCAAATGATTGTAGGCAAGATGTTTGGCAACAAATGAGATTTCATCTCAGTAGCTTCAAGTTACTCAGAGTTTTAAATCTTCAAGGATTTCAATCTGCCGATGAGTTGCCTAAATCGATTGGAGATTTGATCCACTTGAAGTCCCTGAGTTTGAGCTATTCTAAATTCAAGAAGTTGCCGTCATCATTAAGCAAATTGGTGCACTTGCAAACGCTCGATTTGGAAGTTGTTGATTCACTGCAAATCCCGAATATCATCTGGAAAATGGAAAGATTAAGACATCTATATCTTCCTAAAATGTTTCAGACTCAAGATGGTTTGAAATTACGACTGGATGGATTAATTGAACTGGAGACTTTAATAAACTTCAACGCTAGCTTATGCGACGTGAAAGATCTTGACACATTGACTAATCTTCGGAAACTAAGAGCATCGATAAGGGATAATCTCGTTGACCTGCCAAATATACTTAAATACATAAGCTTCACACAGAATCATCTTAGACGCTCGTCCCTTTACATTTCTTGCCCGCAGTTTTGTTCAGATGCTGAGTTAAGTCTTTTGAGGACACTACTCGGGTGTCATCGTCTTTACAAGCTATCCATAAAGGGACGTATTGCTAAGTTACCGGAATTTTACCATTTCTCATCAAGCATTGCTAAAATGACCTTCAAGGCATCTTTACTTGAGGAAGACCCTATGGCAACACTAGAAAAACTACCAGAGTTAAGTAGCTTAACGATATTTGATTTGACTTTTGTGGGAGAAGAGATGGCCTGCTCGAGTAAGGGGTTCCCGAGACTTCTGTATCTGAAACTGTGGGGTTTGTCAAACTTGAAGAGATGGAGGATCGACGCAGGAGCCATGCCTAAACTCCGTCGTCTTGTTATTGCTCATTGCGAACAATTGGAAATGCTCCCGGATGGACTTAAATTCGTTACTACACTGCAAAAATTGAATGTTCGTTTGATGTCCGACGATTTTAAAGATCGACTTAGAGATGAAAGTGGCGATTTTTACAAAGTTCGACATGTACCTGATATCAAGCTTGATTGAATTCTTTCCATTTTCCGTATTATTAATTTAAAAATGTTTGTGCATTGCACCCTTGTTGTCACTCTTTTATCGTCAGCTGTTCATTTTTCACTTGAATTTCAGAGTGTTGTATAATTGTATTGTATCACAGTGTTGAATCTCGGTTTGTTCATGTATTAAATTTCAGTGTATTATTTTCATTTGTATTTGATTGTACCTTTGTGATTCATATCTTAAGATTTGGAAGCATGGAAAAATTATAGAAAAATATAAAAAAATGATTTTTTTCAATAATATTATTTTTGTTATATTTATATTTGTCGTTTTCATTTAGGGTGTGTTTGATTATCATCTAAAATAAACTTAAACGAACACCAAAAGATACAAAATATCAATATTTTTCACGTGGAAAATTATATCAATCAAACACTATTAACTGACAATTTTCAGGAAAACAATTTTAAACAGTTCAATTCTCTGGAATTCATTTTCTTTCCACCCAAATTCCACTATTGCAATCAAACGAACCCTTAAATCTAAATTTTCAGGGAACCATAACAGCTACCTGAATTGTAGCAACTATTCAATGCAACAAAAATGTAGCAAAGGTACATGACTGGGGAGCCTAGTAGCTTGCGAGCCAAGCGAGACAACTCGTGCAGGTAGGTCAAATATCAATTAGAATCTTAAAAAATGGAACCATTAATGGTTCCACATCCAACTATGGAACCGAACCAACCGGTTCCGTTTGAAAATAGAAAAAATATAGAGTTTGAATTCATTTGTCATTCTTATTAACGAGTGCGTTTGATTGCATTTATTTTCTATGGAAAATGTCAGTTTTCCACCTAAATTCCTACTTTGAAGTATTTGATTGTTATTTTTTTTTTCATAAAAATATTTTCCAACTTTTAAAAATATGCATAATTTTCCTTGTTTTTAAGGAAAATATTTTCTATGGATGGAGTATGTTTTTGTTTTCCTCAAAACAAAGAAAATATTTTATTTTCTAGAATATATTTTTCATGTCAATCAAACACACTTTTAGATTTTTCTAGAGATAATGCCCTGTTTGAGACACATTAAAATTCTCAGTCTCATTTTTCTATTCATTTTTAACCATACATTTTTCATCATATCAATAACTTTTTTTTTCAACTACACATTCTCCATCAATTTACCATTCCAAAATACATTCTTCCAAAATAATGTGGATCAAACACACCCAATATTTGTATATTTATGGTGTGTTTGGGAGAATTTCAAATTTTCAATGATGATGTTATTTTTTTTCTTGATAATTAGTAACGTTTGTGTTCATGCATATTTTGGGCATGTTTTAATTAATACTATGAACAATTGTTTCTTTGGGTATTACGCGCTTTAATCTCATATTAGGTAGCACGACGTGTTTTGGAGGATTTTAATAATTTTTGCTTAATTTTTTTATTTTGAGAAGTCGTGCATTTTAAATCCAGATAGGGTAACATAAGCGTGCTTTGTTTTAAAGTCTTGAAATCACGCATTCAGGATGGAGCTAAAAATATTGTTCGGTGGAGTCGAGGTTTAAGTAAAAATATATAATTCGAAACGAGATAATAATACAAAAATATTAACGACGACCACATGGGCTTATAGTTCAGTAATTATGTTAGAGAAATTACAAAAAATCAGGCATT